CTATGGATGTAATTCAGTGGAAAAGCACTTGCACGCACAAGGTCCTAGGTTCTAGCCCCAGCATCACAACAGATGTACTTTAAAAATGTAGAAACGATCTTAGGTGTTTGAGATCTTTATTTCCTAACAAACTTGCCATACTACTTTTTCTTCAAAATGAAATAGTAATAAACATTTTAAACGAGCAAAGTACAGTAATGCCCTTAGTGTTCTTTTTAAGAAGGGTTAATATTTAGCCTCTTAAAATTTTGTATTCTAGGGTAATTTGAGACAAATTTTCTGAAACATAGTTCACTAATCCTTCTCTACTTTTCCAGATGAAGAAGTTGTGATGATGATCAACACCCAGGTTCTGTCTTTCCATTTACTCTAAAGGGTTACAGATGGTATTTTCTGCAAATTCTGCTTTTGCTTTTTATGATTTTATCTTTGTCTCTGCAAGATGTTATTTCTTTCTGCACCCACCTATGCCAGCCTTCATTCTTCCCTTCTAGCCACCATGGTTCTGGAAATCAGACACTTTCCTAAAATTATGTACTAAGTACAGAATAACTACATAGTCTCCAAGTACAGCTGTAGAGAAGTCGTTTGATAGATGATATGATATGATAAATGTTGTTGTTTTGGTTAATTGCTAGATCTCAACTTTTTTCTAATCAGCAAATCTGCCAAGTAACTTGGGACTAGGTGAGAGTGTTTACTCCAAGCCTAAATCCAAACTTTATTTATGAGAAATTTATAATAAATTATTATTGAGGCTATTCCTTACTATTCTTGACAGAATACATTTCCCCTTTTAGTCCCTTGTAATCTTTGCAAATGTTTAAATACACAATTTTTTGACATTTTTATTTTTAACTAAAATTGTGAGACTCAAGGTGACAAAAAGAAATGAAGAGCGAATTCACATTTTAATTTCCCAAGAAAAACTCTTCCTTGAAAATTTAGTTATTTATCATAAAGTTTAAGTTCTAAAATAAAGTCTAACTGTGCTTGAAACCATTCAGTTCTACAAAAGAAAGGTATATCTAGGCCAATTATTCCAAATGAATTCATCAGGATTCAAATGAATCAGTTACTACTTACATCTCTGACTTTACACAGGACTTTAGTAGGCCACTTAATGAGAAACAAATATGATTTTTCTTAATATCACATCTTTCCTAAACTATCCATTATCAACCACTTATTGCTGCAAGACTTGAGCAAGCTGCTACTAATTTTTGAGTCTGCCTATTTGTAACCAACCTGGTTTTCAAGATCACTGTGCCCAGACTATGGGGAGTTTGCAACCCTGGCAGATGCTTAAAAATTAGTAACTCAATTCAGTACACAAACATCTAAGAGTTACAGTCAGATTTTGATATCTATTGCTTATCTATGCTAGAGTACCTGAAAGCTGATATTCAGCACAAAAAACCAACTATGTACTACTGTTACAGGGACAATCAAAGTTTAAGACTCTCAATGTGGTCTAGGACAACAGTTTTGAAATCTGGCTAAGAGTCACCAGGAAAGCCTCTAGATATCCGAAAGAGACTGTTTTAGAAATGCTGGAATCACTGGTCCAGATGAAAAGGATATGAAGACAGAGATCTGGTTTCAAAAAGATCCTACCTTACCATGTCTTAGCTAGTGTATATGCCTTTAAGCAAACCACAATCTTGTAAAGGGAGATTACAACTCAAAAACTTTCTTAAATCCCATATACTCCAAAGACATAAAGTCATAATGCAGATTTCTAAGAGTGTTCTGGAAAACTGAAATAGTTTATAAGACACAAATCTGTTCTTGGAAAGAGCTGAATTCCATTGATTCAAACACATAATAGTTTTATACACCTTTATGTGAGGAAAGAGTCTAAGCAAAATTAAAAGAAAATCTGACCACTTAATGTATTTAAACTAGTGCTGACTAATGCAAAAGAAAAGAAGAAAGGAATTAATGAAGGATAAATTTCATTTAGACATCACTTCCGTTGACACACTAACAGATTTGTGGTGACGGAAATGTTTGCATTGTCAGTGTGGCAGTCACTAGCCCCATGTGGATATTAGGCACCTAAAATAGTGATTCAAGCTGCGCATGACAGCACCTTCTGGGAGGCTGAGGAAGGATTTCAAGTTTGAGTCCAGTTTGGCAATTTAGCCATTTAGCAAGACCTTGTCTCAATTTGAATTTAAAATAAGTAACTGCACATGACTAGTATAGTATTAGAACATTCACCGGCAACAAATGTTTCAGATACAATGTCAAACAAAATGCCTTATTTAAATCAGTTTCACCTGGGAACGCAACTGAGGCGGTCCTATGTGCTAGGCAAGCACTGAGCTACACCCCTTTTTAAAATATGCCCTTTTAAAAATGTAGCTACACCGAAGTGTTACACTATATATGTGGTTCATGTTATATTCTTGTTGTCTGCCCCCACTCTGTAATTTTTTTTTTTTTTTTTTTTACTGTTTTTAGAGTTTTAAGGTCATTGTTAAATGATGGGCTTTCCCATTCTGTAAACAAATCTTTACTAAATGCCTCTTTAGGATTACAGGCGTGAGCCACCACGCCAGGCAGCATGGAAATAAATTGAGTGATTTTAAGAAGTAAATTCCCAGCCATCAGCTTTGAAGTTTCCGCCTTCCTTAAAACTCTTTTCACTCAGTTTCCTTGACACAACTCTCGAGACTATTCCTCACCAGTCTGGCAGCTCAATCTCTAGCACAGCTTCAGCTGTTCTTCTGGTTCAATCCCTACTCTGCTTATTGTTCTTTTACCTACCCACTCTCTCTAAACAGTTTTGCCCATGACTTTAAGCTACTATAGACAGACAGATATAATTTGCCTTCCCCTTTCCACATTCCCAATGACTTTACAGACTACTCCAAATTTTTCTCACCACCTCCTAAATCCACTTATTTCTACTCTGATTTTTCCCACATCAGGCAGCCAGTACTACTATCTGTTAGGCTGGTCAAGTCCAAAACCTAGGACTCAGCTTCTCTCTCCCACAACCAGTTTAGCCACATCCAATCCATCCTGCCATCAATCCTTATTATCTCTAACCCAGACTACTATGATAGCTTCCTTGGTCTTCTGGCTTCCGATCTTGCCCCTGCCAATCCATGCTCCAGCAAACAACCAGAGATTTTACAAAATTGCTCATGTTGTTCTCTCACACACAACTCAATAGCTTTTTGCTACAAAACAAATAGGCATAGCACTTTCTGTTGGACATACCACAGAATGTGGGAAAAACTGGGGTAAGTGGGTTTAGGCAGTGGTGAGAAAAAACTTTGAGTAGTCTGTAAAACATCAGTGTAACCTCTTTTCCAACACCCAGTTAAAATTAGGTTTTATATCCGCTCACTTTTCTATCGAACATATGTAACTGTGGTATCTGTCCAACTACTTGGTTAATGTGTGTAGGCAGAGGTAGTACTTGCTTTGCTAATCACTGCATGTTATGGCTTGTATCTAGATGTTCCCCCAAATCCTTATGTGTTCAGGAGTGGCACGTTTTGAAGATGGCTGGATTAGGGTGTGTGAATGTGGATTAAGGGAGTGACACTGGGATTAAGGGTGTGGATAATGGAAGCTCTATCCCGGTGTGGGTGGAACCTGTCAATAGGCATGTAGCCTGGTCAGGATATAAAGAGACAGAGACAGGATATAAGAGACAGAGGGCTTGCTGCTGCTGCTTGCCTTTTTTGCCTGCCACATCATGGACTATTTCTCCTCTGTGATGGCCTTCTGACAGCCCTGCCTTGAGCTAGCTGACTGTAGACCGAAACCTCTACAAACTGATTTGAAAAATCCTTTCCTCCTTTAACTTCAAGTGTCTGGTATTTTGTTTCAGCAATGAGAAAATTAACTAAGGTACTGCATCATCATCATCATCATCCCACAGTACCATGGCCACGTGGCCAACGTGTAACACACCCTCTCTCCAACAAACCTTTGGTAAGTGGAGAACTCCTGAGTCTTGGTCCTAGCAGAGCTGATAATATAGCAAGATGCAACTGGATATTTACCCCCCTCACAGCTCAATATTTAGGCAAAATACTTTTAAAAGGTCACAGTGCTCAGCAATGAAAAAAAGTAAAGTGGAAGAAAGACAATATAGTCCTTTTACCTAACAAGTTCCTAGACTTTGTCTTTTGCTTTTGTTTTTCCAGTTCCTACCACAGTGTTAGATCCATAATGGATTAAATAACCATATCGAAGAATACCACATACTAACTAGATTTAAACTTGCTCTCACTAGGATCATTTCAAACTGTGGTACCAACTCTCAGAATTACTAAAATCAGTAGGAGTACATGGAGATGGTTTACTGTGCACGAACTGCAACAGCATGTGCAAAGACCCCAGAAGGTTTTCGGGACCTCCTTCATTGGGAAACTAACTTTCCTGCTTGACATAGCCTTCTCGCCAAAGACTTACATTGCAAATTGTGGATTTATGCCATTATCAGGGACAGCATGTCCTAAGATTCAAGATTTCCACAATCTGCATATTCAAGACTGCTAAAAGTTGAGCTTTAATAATTCATAGACTACACATCCTATCAGAATTTTCCTTCATGGGATCCCTAAGGGGTGTACCCAAGCTGTACAGCACAATTTCAAAAGGACACAGATGGTAAGTGCTCTTCACCCTCTCCCGAGAGAGGTCCCCGCCTAAACCTAAAGCATAATCTCTTCTCTGGGGCCACAAACAAACACAGTAACTCGGAGGTGATCGTCAAGCCTGGGCGAGAAAAACAGTGCCCACGATAAGCAACTAGATGAAGACTGCTGTTAAATGCAGCCTCTCCAGTATCGCGTAACCAGCCTAACCCGCTGCAAACTTTTAAGAGATTAAGTTACATTCCACTGCAATTCCCCCCTTGACAGCTGAATCGAGAGCTGCCAGCGAGTGGTGCGCGCGTGCCCTCCTGCCACCTCCGCTAGAAGTCTGCGGCCACATCCTGCGGTCCGCGCGCCGAGGGCCGGGGGGCTCACCTTTTCCAGCTCGTCGTGGAGCTCGGCCAGGCTGGGCCGGAGCAGCTTCTCGCCCAGCTGCGCGGCCGTGTGCCGGTAGTGGTCGATCCTGGGCACGGCGTCCATGGTGTTGTGGCCGAAGGTGCGCAGGTAGTAGGTGTTCGTGTGCGTGTCATAGTAGTAGTGCTGGTGGTGCCCGCTGCCGCCGCCGCCCGAGTGCAGGCTGCTGCCCTCGCTCAGCACCGTGTCCCCGCCGTTCTGGAAGCTCACGTTGGGCCCGTCGCCTCCGACCCCCGCCGCGTCCGACAAGCTGTCCTCCGCCGATGAGGACGCGGCCGGGTCCACGAAGTTCACGCGGAAGCGGCCCTTGGCTTCCTCGCTGGCCTTGGCCGAGCCGCTCTCGCCACTGGCCTTCCCTCCCGCGGGGGTCTCCTTCCCCGCCGACTCCGCGCCCGCCGCCGCCGCGGCCCGCCCCGCGTTCTCGGAGACCACGTCCACCTGGAAGCGGCTCTGGCTCGGCGTGGGCCCCAGCGGTCTGCCCAGCCCGTCCCCG